ATAGATTATAAAATAGACCTAAAAGTCTACATGTCAGATAGAGTTTTTTTCTATAACAGTATTTCTAAAAAGTCCTCAGACACCATTAAATATTACCTTATCATAATAACTATAGAGGTGCCAACACATAGATTACAATATCAAGCATTTCTTGTACAGCACGACTTACACCAACACAATGTACCATGTGTGTGGTTGGCACTCAAATGTAAACAAGATCCTAAAGGAGCCCGGTTATAGCTACCTATAGTATTAAACCAAGGTCAGTTCAGTCAGAAGTGAAACAAAAACTACATTCCTTCCAGCGTTTTATTCAGAACTGAACTCTCATGGTCAAAACAAAAACCAAGGCAAGAAACTAAGAACGTGCAAAAAGTTTAAACACACTTACGATAGAGAAGATCTAGAATATTTAATAAGCATAACTTAAGCAATCACTGGGAAATGGCCAAATCGAGAATTATCGATCACCAACTACACATTGAAGTAGGAAGACACAACCGGTCTCCTCCGAACGACAGACTGTGTACACTTTGTAACTACAACCGGGTAGAAGATGAAACTCATTTTCTGTTAGACTGTGGGCTACACAGGGACATACGCAATTCTTTTTAGGTGTCCTGAATGTAGACACACGATGTTAACACTTAGTAAAAGAGGATCTATTTGTGTACATAATGACATCCCCTAACAATACTGTACAACAAAAACTCTGTGAGCTCGTACATGTATATACCTGTTTTTAAAACGGGCAAAAATGCGTAAACTAGAGTCCAACGATCTCAAACCTTCGCCAAGTGATGTTAATCTTTATGACTGACAAAGTAAAGATTATTCCTCCTTATTATGCTAATAGGATCCTCATTTGCATGAATTATATCAGTTGATCATATTCTCCACCAAAAGACAGCCTTATCTTAACAAAGAAAGCCATTCTATCATATCCTCCTAAATTATCCAAAAGAGGTCCTCATTTGAATAAGCTATGTTTAATGATGTTCACCTTTACTTAACTTTCAAATACCCCAAGTATGAAATTACAAGCAGTTACCGTTATGGAATTATAACATTTTCTCATTGATTATGCAAATTAAGTGTTAAATTACATAATCAATTTCTGCCTGTGTTTTTCTTAAATACATGTCACAAGCTTAAATAGTTCTATAATGTAATGCAGCTGATTCATAGAATTTCCTCATAAATTATGCAAATTACATTCAGATTTGCATAATTGTCACATAATTATGTCAAGCGTCACTTAAGCTACCTACAAACCATAAATCATGACGATCCGTCAACCGGTTCTTGAGTTATCCTTTTTTGAATATTTTTAAAGAAATGCCCCTGCAGTTCCAGAGCAAGTCGCTAGGAGGTCTAAACCTACGTCACTTCTTCCCCAGCACAAGAGCTACCTACCGTCCAAATTTCGTGACCCTGGCATATCCAGATCACGAGATATCAAAACCGGAAGTTCCACTGCAGTATCACAACAAGCCGCCAGGGGGCCCAAAATCTAATCATTTTCAGGTCTCATCAAGACCTACTTACCTACCAAGTATGAAGACAATCCATTTAAGCCTTCTCGAGTTATCGTGGTCACAGACAGACAGACAGAGACACGAACGCCCCTGAAAACATAACCTTCTTGGCGAAGGTAACTATAGAATCAGTGTTAGCATTATATACTTATACATTTGTATATAGTGTAGAACTTCTGTACGAATTTTAGTGTTTATACGACTCATGTGAAACTACATGTTCTGCGCTTAGTGCAGGTAAACATCATTGTCATATCATGTCAGATGTACAGAATAAACATCATTGTCATTAATATTTAATTGCCCTACCCCCACATACACACGCAATCCCTTTAGAAACCAGAAAATTCCATCAGACTAAGTGGCGATTGTTGCTGACGTGATCACAACTCAATTTCCTGCAATTAACATGCTCCGGTCTACACGTTATTTTTCTTTTCCATTTATTCATCCATACAACCAATATTCACAGTAAGTATAAGTAGGTAGAAATGACAGGTTCCTACCGTATTCTACGCTATGTACCAGAGACATGTACATGTACGTGAAGTAGAAAATATATGTTAACAATTGTCTAGTGCAACACTAGCTACTCATGAGTACTACATGTCTACACCATTATCAATATATACTCATGAGTACTACATGTCTACACCATTATCAATATATACTCATGAGTACTACATGTCTACACTATTATCAATATATACTCATGAGTACTACATGTCTACACCATTACCAATATATACTCATGAGTACTACATGTCTACACCATTATCAATATATACTCATGAGTACTACATGTCTACACCATTATCAATATATACTCATGAGTACTACATGTCTACACCATTACCAATATATATGTCACAACCCTTGTCACAGTTTAGTGATAACTGCTTTTGGTGAAAAGGCCATTGACATTGTTAGTTCCATTACACATGTTCTCACTCTAACCACAACAACTCCAATAGTTTGTGTTTTACAAATACTACATCTACTTGTTGCACATCAAGTGTTTCGTTGGCCTTTGTTTTATTTTTTTGTAGTCTAATGCAACACAGAAATCAGATGCAATCAGATTCTAGATAAAACGCTTCGCATGCTATATATGTCTACTCGTACATATTCTACGACAGAAATGACAGTTTACCCCCAAAAAAGAGGTAAAATCACACTTAATATCCTTACTTAGTAAGTACTAATATAAAGACATTTGACACTATCCTCTACCATGAATGCCACAATCTGGCAAAATTCTGGTACATGTATCTGTCACCTTCTACTGAGAGAAAAGAGCGGGTCTTACCCCGGGATGTCGGTTTAGTACCCGTCTTTATAACGATACTCCTCAGTATGGGATTTTACTGTTAAGGATGAGCTAAAATTTTATACGTTCCGCCCCCTTGTTGGTTATCATGTAAGACCAGGGCCACAACACTTCCACAAAATTGAGGTAAAATCATTTGAAACTTGAATTGTTACAGTAACGTCTAGCTGCAGTGTACAGTGACCCAGTAACACCTTAGCTCCCGTGCACAGTGAACCGGTCATATTATCCCTGACGAAGATGACCAGACAGTCATCGAAACGTCGAATTGAAGAACTTTACTAGTTATTTAAAATTTGCCCTAGCCTGGGTACCAAACCTTTGGTCGGCTTGGCGGTAATTTTTCGGCCTCGGCCTTTACCAAGCACAGGCGAGTTATGCCACGGACCTGTAGTTTTCCTGTATCCGCTTGTTTTCTTGTACCCGCTAACTTCCTGTATTACGCTTTGTCCTCTGTAGTCGACCCGTTGTGAGCGAAGAAACCTACCCCCTCCCCCCGAAGCGCGGTAATTGAGGCCTGGTTGGCGGCCCCAAACGCTCTCGGCGCCGAAGGGATAGCACTGAGCTCACGGCGGTCCGGTTAGCAGGCTAAACGTGCCCTTTCAAACACGTGAAGTTGAGTAAAAACACAGCGGAACATGCGCTCAACATAGCCTCCTTCGCAGTCTTGTTGGGTGTCGGCGTTATTTTTTTCCGTGAGCGACGCGAGAAATATGCGGCCGCGAGGGACGATTTGCAGCCGAGTGAGTTTTTGCAGCAGAGAGAAGGATTCGCTCACAGAAAAAAAAATAACGCCGACGCCCAACAAGACTGCGAAAGAGACTAGGGTCAACACTCCCAAGGTTACTTGTTCCTTCTTGGCACACTGACAGCCGGACGGAGAAAACAGAGCCTTGGTCTCACCTGCTAGTAGCAGCAGCCAGACTTGGCTTGCCAGTCTTTGGCACAGCATCGTAACACGGAGACCCTTCTGGTGGTTACGCCATGCTGGACATGTGAAGGGTGCGGCGGCTGGGAACGAAATGACGCTTACCCAGCGTTACCTGGGATTAGGAAGGAATTACGAGAAATATTTGGAGAAGTCACGCAATGGGTCACGTGCAACAGGTGCCTCCATAAAGCAACTAGATGTTTTAAGTAGAAAAGGCGGTGAAGAAAAATGCTACACATAACAGTTACAGAAAACGTTAAAGAAATACAAAGTAGAAAATGCTTAGAATTACTAGGAAGGCCGACATTTTCTAGAGCAAATACAGCATATTTCAGTCCTCCTCTGGACTGTTCTAAACTCAAACCTGTGGAAACTATTTACCAAGTCATCCAAATATGAAATGGAGCCTTCCAGTTTTCCCCCTAGTCCATCGGCCCCATGTCTGAAACAAAAAGAAATAAAAAGAAATAAGGACTTTTGGTATAATCACCCCTGCCCAATATTTAATTGGAAAAAAATCCCTCCCCCTTTAAGAATGGATTCTTCTAGATCAAGTGACACCCATGTTATGGTCCAGTTCAAAACACTTTGATAGCAACTCCCCTAATGATTTAAGAACATTAAAAAAAAACAATTCCACACAGACTATAATCTTTACCGGATCACCCACGTTCAAACTTGAAGTTAAAACTAGTTGGAAGAATCTTATACGTAGTTACACGGGGTGCCCATGCATGTGTATACAGGGACGTTCTCTTGGTGTATGATAACAGCAGTGTAAAAACACTTTATACATTTAACATGCCCGTAGCCAGGATTTTGAAGGGGGGGGGGTTCTTCCCACTGCTTTTAGGGGACCTCGAGCGCCGTAGGCCGAAGGCGCGAGGTTCCTAGGAAAGATGAACCTTCTAAAATGACATTTCGTGCATTTTTGAGAGGGTTTCCAAGATGAGAAAAAAATCAGAGATAAATTTCTATTCAATGACAAAGGGAGCAGTTTTTCTACGATTCCAGTCCATCTTTTCAAGAAAAATCTCGGACCTTTACATAAAAAGTGGACCAAAAAGTGGACCTTCAGCCTTG